GGATGTTGCGTTGAGGGAACATGGTGCTGAGGGGCAGTCGAACGGCTGTTGCGTCTTTCTTCCGCTTTGACAGACAGTGGGATTATACGGACGTCGGGCGTTCCGGCTTAACGAAGCAAAGCCGGTTTAGCGTCCCCGTGATTCGTCTGCGGGCTGCCGCTGGTGCCTTAGTCATCAGTCAGGCCATCATCGCGTGATGTCACGGCGCCTCTACATCACGTGCCATCACGGGGTCGTATAGCTGCAGCTACAGCTGTACGACGAACAAGTACCACGAATCGATTTTATTGAAGGAAATGAAGTAAAACTGTCTGCTTTAGATATTTTCGGAGCTCTGGCTGACTGTGGTATGCGCTTGGAACAAGTTTCACAGCATCCGCGATGGGGTTTCGCATAACAACATGGAATGGTAAGCTTGATTGATATCGGAAATCAGTTCCCCTGCTGGATACTCGGATTGAAGGTTAACTTGTATAACAGTGAACGGGATACGGTATGTGTTGTCGACATTCTCAGTGGCAAGTTGTGGTGCTGAGATCTCGCAGGAATCCATTCTCGTATGAACCATGGAGAGGCAACCGAACCTTCGAGGTAGATTTACCCAAGGTCCTTCATATCTAAACGAGAGGCTCATCATAGAACAGTCAATGTTTGATATTCTTAAGGCAGATATTGTCGTTTTTCAGGAGACCAAGATCCAACGAAAAGATCTCCGCGATGACATGGTGCTAGTACCTGGCTGGGACTGCTACTTCAGTTTACCAAAAACCAAGAAGGGTGCGCTCTCCAAGGTATCCGGGATGTTTTTCAGTTCTGACATCTTTCAGGATACTCCGGAGTTGTGATATACACTCGAAATGCGACATGCTGTCCCATCCGCGCAGAGGAAGGTCTTGCGGGAGTTCTCTGCCCGCCCAATTCGCCGGTGTCTTTTCGAGATCTGCCTGAAGAGCAACAAATAGGAGGCTATCCAACCATTGAGCAACTGTCAGGGCTAGAGGTTGATGCGGCTACTTTGGACTCGGAAGGCCGTTGCGTCATTCTAGAGTTTCCTGCATTTGTTCTGCTTGGAATTTACTCACCAGCCAATCGCGACGAATCACGGGACAATTTTCGCCATAGCTTTATTGACCTGATGGATGCTCGCATCCGAAATCTGGTTGCGATGGGGAAGAGAGTCCTTGTCACAGGGGACCTCAACATTGCGAAAGGGGAAATCGATGCAGCTCATGCTACCGAGGCCATCAGAAAGGGAAAAATAACGGAGGACGAGTTTATATCTGTCCCGGCACGGCGCGTGTTCAATCAACTTCTTTCTGACGGCAGAGTAATTGGTCAGCGCGATGAAGGGAGGGAAAGTCCTGTTTTATTTGATATCTGTCGGTCGTTTCATCCCGGCCGAAGAGGAATGTACACTTGTTGGGAGCAAAGAATCATCGCTCGACCCGGCAATTATGGCTCAAGGATAGACTACGTCCTGTGTAGCCTGGATATGCAAGATTGGTTCAGCGATTCAAATATTCAAGAGGGCCTAATGGTAAGCCCCGAGGTTGCTATTGCTTCGTTGTAGATTGATTTTCCAGCTAACTTTATGCAATTGGAACAGGGATCCGATCATTGCCCGGTATATGCGGTCTTCAAGGACGTCGTATGCCTCGGCGAGAAAGAGGTCAACATTCTTGACATAATGAACCCTCCTGGGATGTTTAAAGATGGTCAGCGTCAGCAAGAATACTCTACTAAATATCTTCTCCCAACGTCGGGACGCTTGATACCAGAATTCGACAAGCGGAGAAGCATCAAGGACATGTTCTCGCGTAAACCATCAACCAACGTACAGACGTCAACGACGAATCCCCCAACGTTGAGACGATTTGCCTCTACCCAGGAAATGGAAACGCCACAGGCTATTGCAGAGAGCGCTGCCAGCCGGTCTGTAGTAGTTTCTGATAGCACTCAAACGAAGCAAATCGTTCGCAAGAGGTCTGTGAAAAGTGAGACGGGTTCCCCTGTCTCAGTCAAGCGTTCGAAATCTGGCTCAGGTCAACCATCAGCACCTTCCTCTGCTGGACAGAGGACCCTAAAGGGGTTCTTCAAACCTAAAAGTGATTCAGCCGGCCAAGCGACCATAGCCCAGGATTCTGTATCGGTGTATACTGTGCCAACATTGCAATCAGCTGCGTCCCCTACGAAATCTACCCCACTTACGGAATCTACTGCATTGGAAGCATTACGGACGGCCCCCGCTGGCGAAGCTTCACCGGGAGAACAGCCAAATTCCGCGACTGCCACAACTCCCGCTTCGTCCCAAAACGATGATACTGTTCACGATCCCATTGCCAGCAAGGAGGACTGGTCGAAGCTCTTCACGAAAAGGCCCGTTCCCAGGTGCGAGGGTCACCAGGAACCATGCATCAGTCTGACAACTAAAAAGCCTGGCATCAACTGCGGAAGATCGTTCTGGATCTGTCCGAGGCCACTTGGGCCCAGCGGAAACAAGGAAAAGGGGACGCAGTGGCGATGTCCTACATTTATATGGGCCAGCGACTGGAACCCTTCCGCTCCGTAGGCTTTTGTGTCTGAGGCAGCTTTCTTTTTGTGATAGAATACGGAGTAGAATGAGACTCTTCAGGTATATCTGACAGCATACAGGAGTAAGTATGGGACGAAAGGGTGGTCAGCGAGCTGAATCCCGAGAGCACTTGGCCGGATTGAAGGCTACTTATCGTCTCTGATTTTTAGCAAAGCCATAGCAGTCGATTTTCCTCAAGCAAGAATCAAAAGCACCTCGTGGCCCCTGAGGAACGTATGTTCCGGTGTCCACGGCAACAAGCATGCCGGAACCGGATATGACAGGTGCACGGCTCTCAAGCGGTTGCGGTATGCAAGGGCCCGCCGGGCCTCGCGGACCACCATGCAGCATGTCTTGGAATTGGTATCTAACTAGGCAGCCTGCAGAAGCTGTCGGGTAACCTTGAACAGCAAGGGGGGCAGTAGACAGGCGGAGCTTACTCTCGACCTCGAGGATAGTTAGTCAGATGAGAAAAAAGAGTAGACATTCAAGATAACACATACGGATTAACTCCGTTCTTTGTATTTGTTTGGCTGCTATGTCCTAACTAAGATTATCTGGAAGTCTGTTATTCTCGGAGTAATTACACTGATTCGTCTGATATCTTCTGAAAACAAGACTCCAGAATGGTCAGAGATCCTCCCATCGCCCAGCATAAAAAATGAAGAAAACAAATGATCCGCGCCGGTATGGTACAGTGTCAAAGGCAACGATGTATCGAAGCCCTCGGTCAGAGGTGTGAATGTAAAAATGTACACAGGGTGCTTGCTCAAGTAACAACAACAACAGAAGGGGCAAAAAGACAAGCAGAGAAGAAGCACATGTTCCAGTCCATCCTAGAAGCAATCAGAGATGAAGTCAGTGAACTCAAAGTTCTCTCCGATCTGACCCTGGGGAAGGCTGAGTTGCTGGTAGAGGGCAGCCTTGTTGTAATCGTTCTGCATCTGATGCATGAGATCGAACGCGTTTGGTTCGAAATGATACTGCTGGTCCTCCGGCATGCCGTTAGGAGTCATGATGGCATCCATACCTGGAACACCTTCAAAAGCAGCATTGAAATCAATGTCGCCCACTGGCATGCCCTGGAGCATGGCAGGAGTGGAGACATCAGACGGGATGTTCGTCGAAGCCGGAGTATCGAGCAAGGCAGCGGGCATGGTGTTCTTGGAGAACTGACGGGATGAAACACGACGCTTTCTCTCAGAAGGCTTGCGGGGGGTGTAATGATAGTCCGGATGATCTTCGGCGTGCTTCTTCTTGAGCTCTTCTGCTAGGGTTCGGAATTGGGCCTTGACCTCTTCATCTTCGTCTTTCCACTGCTTCCCAAGCATGATTGCTATGCATATCAGTAAACATAATCGTACAAAAGAGTATAGGCAAGCAACTTACAAATATCGTTGTTCGAAAAGTCAGGATATGCTTCCTTAATCTTGGGGTGATGATGCTGACGATACAGAATGAAAGCATTCGGAGGACGCGGGACCTTCGGCGCCTTCATAGGTCCCGCAGGTTTTCCACGAGGTTTGAAGGACTCAGTTACGTCGACCTTGTCCGTCTTGACAGCTGCACCGTGGGATGCAACCGAGACAGCTGTTCCGGAAAATGCCGGGGTACGCATAACACGGAGAGCTTTGATCGACTCGTCAACGAAGGCAACAACAGGTGCGCCAATGAGTGCACTGTGATTTCGTGTTATCAGTCAAGCTCGGGAGAGGCTCTAGAGTAGACACTTACCCAAGACGGGTTTTGATCTTGTTCACATTGTCCTGGCCGATCATGTCGGTCACATTGATGGGGAGGAGGACTTCATTGTTCGTGGACTCGAGGTGACGCAAAGCATCCTGCCACAAGAGCTCTGTGAGAGTGTCGGTAGATTCCGCTGCCGACTTCATGGCGATTGGAACTGTAGCCATTTCTGATCTCGGCCTGTAGACAAGATTACTGCGAACAATGTTGAGATCTTGAAGTATGGAACTCCGCAGCCCTACTGTCGACTTTGAAGAGAGTCGAAAAGCGAAGGAGAAAGGCTAAGAAGAAAGGTATCTTTTGGACAGCGCAGAAAGTTAGAGATAAAGCATGCTAGATGGGAGAAAAAAGTCCAAAGACTTTGTAAGACATGGCAAATGAGGCTGGTGTTCGAACTTGAGGGGAGGTTGGCGGGTTTCTTTGTTTACTCAGGTGAATGCTTGAAGTCACTTCACTTTCTCTCCCAGCCCTCTTACCACTCAGTTTTCTTTGCTTCAGTAAACAAACACAAAAGAATCATATTATCTCTCATTTCAAGTCTTCTACCTCGACATCTTTCCAACTCTCTTGTCCTTCGCACTTTCTCAACTGTTCCTCTCTTTGCTCTACGAACGATCCTCATCAAAGATTCTCCTTCAGACCTCGTGTATCTCAAAGAATCTTATATTAACGACTCTTCAATATGGATTATGAACGAGATGTTCTTCTGTGGTATCTTGGTACTGTCGCTGACAATGCCCGTTACCCGCCAGACTTGAGAGACAAGGCTACCCACATCATCGTTTCCTTCATGCGCCACAGAAACGCTTACAGACTCCTGGCTCAGGCTACTGAATTGGCCAGAGGAGAGCTAGTAATGTATCCCTTTCAGCAGATCGGTAACATTCCTAGAAACATTGGGCTCCCTGTCCGGCGTTTCGGCCAAAACATTCGTGCAATTACGACTGCTTTTGGCATTATCCCAACCAATGCGGACTACGAAGGTCATCCAATCGAGCTCATCAGCATCCTTGATCCCGCTGTTGAGGCAAACATGAATGACAACCAGAGACTTGAGTTCCACCGCGCACTTCTTGTTAAGGAACGACAGGCAAATGCCGATCTCGCGAGATCCGTTCAGCGTTACGGTTACCACTACATCTTTAGAGCCGGTCTTCAGCAGTACTACATGACGTATGTATTTCTGCACATTTTATCTGAATTCTGCTTACAGTTTTAGCAAAACTGTCGTGGAGATGCTCAACTTCTGGACTCCGGATCCTCGTGGTAATGCCTATCGTGTTCGTGTTCAGCGCATCTGCTATGCAGCCATCGAGACACGTCTTCGACTCAACAATCTCGAGAAGACGCTCCTCATCAGAACGACTCGCTCTCTGCCTAATGATGCGTTACGCTTCTGTAAGTACATCTGTGCTCTGCTGTCGGGCTTGCTAACCCTTGTTAGGGGCTTGGATTGAGAGAAACCGGGTGGCTTACAACGCGATGAAAGCTTGTATTCTGCTGCTGAATCGTCTGAACTGTAAGAATTCTATGACTTTTCACATGGATGATGATGCTAACTTTGCTTTAAGAGACAGCTTCATAGCGTACATCAGTGGCCACCGTCTCGTGCATCACGCTCTCTTCCGGTGCTTTCGGGCGTCTTGCATATACTTCGAAGAAGCATTCAGTACCAGAAGGCGCTGCTTGATGATGTCTCAAGCTCTTTCATATGTACACTATCTGGTCTTGTTTCCGAATGTACTCTATTCATTTTCCATCGGCATTTCGAAGCAAATCGCGATTACGAAGCGAGCGTGGTTATTCTTCGTGGCGACACCAGCTTTCGGACGCATAACGACTTTCAATGAATTGGGGCTTTCATGATTCTACATTCGACATCAAGTGGTCTAGCTTATGGATGTCTGGCGCAGTTTCCGTTTGTTATCTGGGTTTCGAAGGTCTCATCGGGCTTGCAGTTTACAACGATGTCATGGTCTTTATTTCTTTCCTTATTTCCCTGAGCACCGATGCACTTCTCGTGGAAGTCTTTTCTACCGGTGGCCCAATCAATTAGCATAGCTTAGCTAGCTCAAACGATAAAAAAAAAATAATGATAATTGGTTCGATGTACTTCATCGCTCTCACAAGAAGGATAATTGCTCCTTCGAAGGCACTTTAACTTCTACTCTATCTATCATGCGACCATTTTCCTCAGTATGTGCTGTATAGTGTCATAGAGTACGGGCTTATTTCTATTCCTAAGCGAACGAGTAATCCAGAGTACGGTCTCTGATCAAAAAGTCGCAATGTTCCTCGATTTCCTTGGGACAAACACATGGTCGATCCAGCTGCCAGCCACCTCAAAGCTCGAGACCTGCAGAGGCATGGAGTACATCGTAGCTTCACAGAATCGAAGTCAATCCAGCCACCCAGCTCCAACCGGCTTTTCCCTTTTAGTTTACATGCAGTGAAAGATCTCGAGAAATTTGTTTCCAGTCACCTTCGCCACCGTACTATTATTCGTGGATTTGAACGAACTAGAAGGTCGGTATTTTCCTTCTACCAGCCATCCACAACGACTGATCGGTCCACTTCCTTTCAGTCTTGCTAGCCACCAGCTCCCCAGACAAGTGTGGAGAAAGCTCGGATGAAAGCTGGAGACAGCCGTTCACTCGTGGCAAGTTCCATAAGGTACTTGCTACCTGCCACCACGAGCCGGAATCAACGTGCTTCGGCCTTCACAAAATCGACGCAATGACTCGGGCACAAACCGGCCGAGAACAGGGTACGCCACCAACATTTCTCTGTCACAGTCACAGTTCTTATCTGTATCACACTCGAACCACACAGAGCACACTAGCCCCACCAATCAAGTCTCTTGCCCAAAACAGAAGCAAGAAGCAAGAAACCAATCCAACATGAGACGGGGTCGCCGTCCATCCAACCGGCCGCTGGCCCCGTCCTCTACCAGCCTAGCTGACAGACCTAGAACCCATTGCATAGTGTCAAAAGAGCAGGTCAGTCTCCACCGCAGCCCAGCTCGCCGGAATAGGGAACCGTTTACAAAGTCCAGACATACAGTCGCTGACCCTCACACTAGACTAAGGTACTGCAGGGATACGCTACGAACCAAGCCAAAGCCAAAGCGCGAACGAGAACGATCTACGCCGAGTCCTACAAGCCTACTTTTCTTACAAACCATTCTCGACGACGTCACAGAAAGCGGGGGTTCCGGGTCCCCTTGTTCTGTTCCCCGACTCCTATGCGCAAGCGCGTGCATATCAAGAACAAAGAAACTCGCAAATTAGCCCTAATTCTAAACTGCGGGCGTCACGATAAGATTTGCGGTGGGACCCGCGCCAAGACGAACCGGCACCTGTCAGCAGGGAACGTGAGGGTCAAAGATCGAATGGGAATGCGGCGGCGAATGAGAGGACAAAGAACCCGTCAAGTTTCAACCCGAGGGGCGCGCAAGGGGGGTTTCTGTATGGGACGTGGGCATCTGGACTGTGATTGATGCACTGCTGCACTCCCATGGATGCAAGGGCTGTCAGCTGGTTGTAACTCGATGCGGGTTCAGGACGATCAATCTGCATCTGGAATCCCTCCTAGAGGCTTAGCCTAAGCTCGGATACATCAATTGACTTTGTTTTTGGCTTTTTTGATGGACAAAGGATGAAAGTATGTGTATCTTTCGTGGTGTAGCCGCTCAGGGTCTGGGTCGTCTGTACTCACTTCTACTTAGTACTATGCAAAACTCGGTTTTTGTGCGAAACACCGATACATACAACAAAATATATTGCTCCCTAGTCTTGGTATATTGAATATATGAAGAAGAGACCGCATAATGAAAGAAATCTGGTCAGACTAGACGAAATGATGAATACAGAGCGACCGGGGATTAGAGACATAAGAGAGAAGGGAAAGAAGGATATGACGGACTTGTCCATCTGTAAATGTCGAGAGGCAAGCAATAAAATACAACTACATTGCCACTATGGCTTGATCACCAAGGTTGTTTCTACCACGAGCACCACGTGGACGGAAGGCAATCCCGCAAAACCCACGGATATAGACACCTTGTAGACCACCAACTCTCACCAATGGTAATCGGGCAATGGACTTTAGTCCTCCTGGTAAGAAATCTTGCGCATCTCTCCAAGGCGTTGACGTGCCCGGGCCAGACTGTTCTCGAGTTGAAGGATTTCGACCTATTCGAGAGCGAACAACCAGTCAGCATCTTCGAAAGAGACACGCGCAAAGAAAAACAATATAACAGATTGGACAGAATCAAGCATACCTGTTGCTCCATTTCTCGCACCTTGAACTCGTGCGAGCTGAGCTTCGCGTAGTCGACGGTCTCCCCTTCATCCCGATTGCGTTCGGCAATGATGTCTTGCACTTGTCGCACCAGAGCGCGGCAAGCGGCACCGACCGCCTTGCTAGCGGCCTCGAGGCGATCCTGCGTCTTGCTCATGAAAGTGGCCTTGACTCGGCTGGCAGCCACCAGCTGAGCAGTGCTGGCGGCCACATCGTTACTGGCCACAATCAACTGCTCGGGAGAGTTGCGGCCGGAGATCACACCGTCTGCTGTCTCAATCAGAGTATTGGTCGAGGTGGCAACAGCCTTGGCGGCCGAAATCAGACCCTCCGTCCACCGGTTGTTCTTCTTGTAGAAAGCCGTTCTAGACGAGCTGCCGCGGCCCTCACGCACGATTTCCTGTTGAGATTCCGTCGCAGCCTTGATCAACTCGGCTATCGCGTTGGTAACGGCAATAGCAGCTGCCAAGATCACATCGTTGATGCGAAGCTCATATGTCGAGAAGCCTTCGCGAGGCTTCGTCTTAAGCTTGGCCAAACGTGCCGCTGCTGCCTCGATAGCATCGGCGGCCTTGCTAAGCTCTTTGTCCACCAGATCGCCCAGGTCGCCGCTGGTACTGATCTTGGTGCTCTTGGGAGCAAACGCGTCAACCAGTTTCGACAACGACTGCAAATCTTTCTGAACCTCCAAGTTGTTGTTGATCACAACATCGGTCTTCTGCAGCGGCTCCAGACCCTCAAGCCGGAAGGACTGCAGTCCGCGGAAGAAGCGCACGGTCGCCTGGGCCGACTTACGCGCCGCATTGAGCAACTGATCGGCGCTCTTGTCGTCGTTGGCGAAACGAGTGAGACCCTTAGTGTTGCTCAACACATCCGCAATGGAACCAGAGAAGATAGACACGGTGCGGATAATCTCGGCATGGGGACTGTTGGGGCCGTCGGCGATGAAATTGTTGAAAGCGGTCGAGAACTCGGTTGCGGACGCAGACGCCTTCTCGACCTGAGAGAGCACGTAGGGAGGAGAAGCGTTCTGGTTACCAGCCTGCATGGTGGAGTCCAGTTCGTACAAGGCATCATCAACACGCTGTACACCTGTTTGGAGGACAGAATCAATAATGTCATTGATCTTGGTCACAGTGCCTTGCAGGACGGTGTCAATTTGAGAATCCAACGCGTGATCGACGTCACCCTGGCTCTGTATTGTTCTCTAGCATCAGCCACAGTCCAAAATAGCAATGTAAACAGCAGAGACCACAATAAATAAAGACATACCAGTTTTAGCTCCTCCAGCTCCATGAGCGCCTGTTCCATTCCCGATTTGTAAACCTCGATCTCTTCATCCTTCTCGCGGAGCGCAAGTTCATGGTCTCCTTGGTGATCCATGTTCCGAGAGGAAATTTCTTCCAAGGCGCGAGTTTTGTTCTGGCAATCCGAGTCAGCGGACTTATAGAAGAATATTCAGGTCATGAAACTCACTCTGAGTGCCTCCTCGAGGTCCGCCATCTCACGGTTGTACTTCGACAACAGAGTCGAGATCTCGGTGCCCTTTGAGCGCTCGGCATTCTCAGCGCGTTCGATAGCAAGCCGAAGCTCGCGTTTGAGCTTCTCGAGCTCCTCCTTGTTGGTTCCCGTCAAGCGGTCTCTGTCATGCAGAGCACGATCCCTCTCCCTGATCATATCGGCCAGTTCAAGGTTCTTTGTCTTCAGCTCCCGCTCAAGCTTCTCGCGCCTCTCAATCGCCTCTTGGGCTGACGCTGCCTTGAGTTTGAGGCTCTTAGTCGTCTGGAGAAGGTCCAGATGCTCCTGTCGAAGCTGGGAGTAGAGCTTGGCCAGGGCCTCGTACTTGGAGCGCCATGTATTGACTTGCTCCTGCAAAGCGCGAATCTGTTCGTCTTTCGAGGCGTTTTGCATGTTCAAGTTCGTGGTCAGCTGCGACATCTGCTCCTCTAGATCCTTCACACGGCGATCATATTGCTGCAGCATCAGCTGGTCACGCTCGTACTGCGCCCGGGCATTCAGGTTTTCCCGCTCAAGCTCAGCCAATCGACCCTGAGTCTGGGTCTGATACTGCTCACGCAAGAGTTGTTCCTGAGCCAGTTGCTGCTGCTCTGCCTGCAGACGCTGCTGTTCCTCAAAATCACGTTGCGCTTGCTGCTGCGCAAGAAGTTGCTGGCGCTGCTGTTCTTCCCACTGTTGCTGAAGGCGTTGCTGCTCTGCTTCGAACTCCTCCTGTTGACGCCTCGCCTCGTTGGTCCAGAAGTCGTTGATGGGCTCCGGCTCAGC